GACTCCTACAAATTTCAATTTAAAATGAGATACCTTTCTAAAAAATTATAAAACACCCTATCACTAAAGGAGAGTTGCCTACTCTTACAATATGTATAACAATGGCATTCATAATTTGTAACATTGTTGTTTCGACCACTAAAATTGAGGTATTTGAGTCGTGTGATGAAATCCTATGACATTCTTGACTAGTTATTCAAAAATATATCAAATTTTACATTACATTAACATCAAATGTATCATAGGGTGTGTTCGGCACGTAGTGTTTGGGAGCTTCTGGCTTCTAGCTTTTAAGAAAACGTTAGTAAAAAAGAAAAAGTCTCGTTCGACGATATGAACGTTTAACTTTTAACCTAAACAAAACCCTCCAAAATCGAAAGCTATATGGAGTAGCTTTCAACAAAACGCTTCAAAATCAAACGTTGTTCGCTATCCGCTAACCGCTACCAGCTAGTTTTGCTGAACACGCTCACATCCATAGACTCATAGCCTCATAGACTTACAATCTTCTAAGCCTTTTACTCAAATGAATTAAAGTAAAATATAATTTTTTATAATTATAAATATTAGTTAAGATATGTTTTCATTTGAATTAAAAATACATACATTTCAATCCGAACATATTTAAATTTGTTTTATCTATTTTATCAAATATAAATAGATAAATATAAACGCAATCTATTACATACAAATTAACGATACAACTATTAGTTATATTTGTGTGTCTATTAAAACTCCTAAATTTCAATACATACGCAAATATCTCTATATTAAACACAAGAAAAAGCTATATTAAATGTTTGGCTATATAAAGACTTTCAATCCATATGAAAAGGCACATTAAAAGTTTAATGCCAGAAAGCATAATTTATTATAAGTCTTTTTTTATTGAAAAACATTTTGGAAAGAGGAATTAGACCATTGCAAGATGCCAAGAAAAAAGAAAATTTTAACATGTAAAAAATTAATATAATAGTTTTTTCGAAATTGGTATATGATAGATTGTATTTTTTTTTTTTAAATATTTGTACATAAAAAAAATCAATAGAATGATAAAATTATTGTCTATTGCTTACATAAAAAGTCAAAATAGAGCAAATTAGAGGAAATAAAAGGTGGTGCATTTGGAGACATTTATGGTTGAGTTGCACAATAGCTTGATGGTCCTCACCATTCAGAAATGAGGACCAATAATGGTCCATGCTCCCATTGTCACATTAACATCATATCCATTTCACTTCAATCAAACATTGGTATTGGTGCTTTCGGTTTCTTTAATCCATGGATTTATGTAAAGTCATCTTTTCTATATGAATCTAGACAAAGTCCAAGTTTTTTTTTATATAAATAAATATTAAATGTTGTATGTGTAAAAGGTGTTTAAAATAGAAAAAACGAAAATAATAACATAACAGAGAAGACAAATACATGAAGACAAATTTAATAAATGTTACAATTTAATGGTGAAAACATTGTTTCTTTAACTTTCTTGCTATATCTATCTTTCCGCTTTAAGTAAAACAAATATGTATATATAACTTACTTAATTAAATGATATCTTCATCTATCAATTCAAAACAAAACAACATTGTGACATTTCTACCACAAAATGTTAGAAATTGGTTATTATCAATTTGGTCCACTAAAAGGATTGTTTTGGTTTTGCTTATTTATGTAAAAGATTTAAGTCTTTGGCTATTGACTTACTAAACTCCCTCAATCGGGTTGCAATTGTTTAAATTTAAAAACGAGGAAGTTGTAAATAACACACTAACTTATCACGGATTAAGGAATTCGAAGCAAAATATGTACTCTTATTACGAAAGGTTTTGTGATCATCCTTAGATTACCTCAAATACTTGTCATGCACATGTGTAAAGGCTTATGGTCTAGTGAGGTCATGAGTTTATATTAGTAACATTAAATGTGTCTATGAACAGAAAAAACATGTAGCACATTCTTCATATGAAACTACAAAATAATGACATCTCATAATTTAATTGTTACCTACATGCACTGTAGCAACTAGTTGTCATCACACACACTATTAGAAAAGGGGAAATTACTTATTAGGATAATTAACTGTTGTCCTTGTACTTAATTGGTCACTTCCCTTTTTTTATATCTCATTTACCATTGAACTTGTTGTAGGTGTTCACAGAAACCATTGAAACCGGCTATTGAAGGTTTCCGACAATTTCTTATCTCCGACGACTCTTCGGTCGTCTTCTCCGGCGAGCCTTCGACAAAAATGAGATTTTTGACGGATCCTTGGGTCTCGGTTTGATGACTTATAGCAGCAGCAAGCAACAAGAGGTGGTAATGGTGGTTTACCGGTGGCAAAAGGGAGGTGGCAGGTGGGTTCCGATGATGGCAGGTGGCTTGTTGCCTGCGTCCCTTCTTCCTTTTTCTGGCAGCAAATCGACAGGAAGGAGAGAGGGGAGGGTGGAGAAAGCTAAGCAGCAACACCGGCGGTGGATGCCGCTTGGATGGCAGTCGAGAAAAGTCCGTCGGAAAAACTCGTTTTTGCCGGAGGCTCGCCGGAGATAAGAAATTGCCAGAAACCTTCAATAGCCGGTTTCAATGGTTTCTGTGAACACCTACAACAAATTCAATGGTAAATGAGATACAAAAAAAAAGTGACCAATTGAGTATAAGGGTAATAGTTAATTACCCTAATAAGTCATTTCTCCACTAGAAAATAGGGGGTTTTCCTACAGAAAACAACTACGGAAATTTTTTGTAGCTAATTAGCTATAAAATCGCTACGGATCAGCTACAGAATAGGACGCCCTAGTATAGCTACAGAATAGTTACGGATGCCGTAGTTATTCCGTAGCTAATTAGCTACGGAATAGCTATGGATTTGACATTTAATTATGTTTATTCTAATATTTATTTTTGGAAAATGATGTTTTTGTAATGTGTTAAGCACTTAGTAATGTATTTGACATTTTGTTGTTTAATGTAATGAATTTTTATTTCATTTTGACCAAATTAATTGTTTTTTTATTTAAAAAAATTATTGTTTTTTTTAAATAAAAAGTAATTAGCTACGGATTACCTACAGGAAATCCGTAGCTATTTACTTTCATAGCTATCCGCTTCCGTGGCTATTTAGTTTCGTAGCTATTCAATTTCATAGCTATTATGTAGGAAATCCATAGCTATTTAATTTCGTAGCTATTCCGTAGTGATTCCGTAGCTATAATTTAGCTACAGATCATTATGTTACAGATATTTTTCCGTAGCTATCTGCTTATAGCTACAGAATAGCTACGGATTGTACTGTAGCTATTGCACTAGAAAAGTAGTCACATTAGTTTGGTCATGTTTACAGTTTTAGTGTCATATACAATGTAACAATAGTTGTCATATTGGCACCAATGCTTTAAAACACATGTAATGTCATCCACAAGCACATCAACATAAATTCACATCCACATATATTAAAAAAAAAACGACAAAGCATATCATGGTGATCTTCATTCTTTTCCTATTTTAACATGTAAAATACTTTCTTTGCAACAAAAAACAGAAGTAGACTAGATTGAAACCCATCATCTCTAATTTCATGTATCTTGATTCTTGCTAGACAAAAATTCCAAATATTCTACTAACAAAAACATTAATGATATGTTTGGCAACGAGCATCAAGAGCTTTTAGAAGCTTTAGTTTTTAAGAAAAAAAAATACTAAAATTAAAGAAAAAACTTCATTCGGAATTACTAACTTAAAGCTTTTATTTTATGTACAAAAGTTACTTCAAATAGGTTTTGAGAATTTTAATGAGTTTTTAGTTGGTTCTATCATTTTACAACTTGCAAAAGCTTACACCATATTTGTTGAACAAGTCTATACATATAAAAGTTGTAACTCCAAACTCCCCAGACATACCCTTAATCTTAATTAATAAAGTGGGTACGTAATTCAACATATATTCATTTTCCTTTCAGTAAGCTTCCAATAATAACAACTATGGATTGTAATATTATAATACATTATTGGTTTATTGATTTAGACATTTCCTCGTTGATTTTTTTGTATTAGACAAGGAATCTTTCATCGATTATAACATCTTGTTTGTATCCTTTTAACTTGTATTGAGATATTACAATATACATACGACTTTGAATCACCTGAAAAATGTAGTTGAAAATATGTAAATATAACCTACTTTCCACGAATTCTTACTTCAAGCAATATTTTTTTATGTCCATTTTGAGTAGTACACCTTAACCCACCGACATAATAAGATCCAAAGTAAATTATAATGTTACATACAATGCGTGGAATGGAGGGAATTAATAAAAATTAAAGTAAATTAAATTATTTGTTCTTCTGCTTTATAGAAAATCACAAGTTCGGTCCAAATTTTAAAATTGCTTATATGCCAGTCCTTACATTTGCATTTCATTACAGATATGTTCCTTGTGCTTTACTCAATATTGCAAGTTTAGTCCAATCTATGTAGCCATACTATATGGATAAGGACTGTATTGGCAACAAAATTCAAACTTAAGGACAACATGAGGATAATTCGATATTTTGGGCCAAACTTGCAATGTTGGATCAAGCATATCGACCAAATTCATAATCTACTCTATAAATTATTACCCTTCATTATATAAAATGAAAATTAGCCTAAGGTAATTCTTAAGAGTAATTTACACGAATGGTCCCTATGATTTGGGGTAATTTGCACGCTTGGTCCCTAACTTATTTTTCTAACTTGGAAGGTCCCTATTGTTTGTTTTTAGGTAAGGCAGGGACCAAACGCGTAAGAAAAACAAACAGTAGGAACGTTCCGAGTTATAAAAATAAGTTAGGGACCAAACGCATAAATTACCCTAAACCATAGGGACCATTCGTGTAACTTACTCTAATTCTTATTATACACATTATAATCAACTTTACAAAGAAAGACCATATATGCCCCATTTGTTACACATGTCAAGCCATAATATTTTATTCCTGTGACTAAAGTGAACAAAACAGTAACTTTTTTGTCTTATTCAAAAAGATGAAACAAGACAAGACAGAGTAGATCTCTCATATGTGCAAAAGACATAAATACCCTCCTCTTCCTGATATCCAAAATACGCCTACATGTTTTTAGGACTACGATATACTAAGATGGATGTAGAAATTTAGACTAATGAAACGACAATTTAATATAAAATGTTATCATTTGGACATTTACTCACAAGACATTTACATACATATATTACTTGTATATATATACGAGTCTTATATAGACATAATTGAATTTTAAGTCTAGCGTGCTTCTTTATTAGCATTCCAACCTTTCCATTTCATATTGCTGAGCCATCCAAATCCAAGACTTAATTGACCCGACTTTAATTTCACCAAATGTTGTCTGTATGGTATCAGTATACCCCTCAGACCTGTATTATAGAAAAAAAAAATTATAGGTTAAATTACTCTTTTGTCCTTTAGGCAAAGTTCCTTACATGGAACAAATTTTCTAGGGATCTTTTTGGTAGTGAGGATGAGGAGGGCATTAACGTCTTTTGCACAGACAAGAGATAATTGGGATAAATGCAAAGCTATAAAACATATTACCATTTATTCATGTATTATAGCATCTTACTTTCAGGTTTTGTTTTAAGGTTAAATATCATAAAAGACCTTATATATTGAGTTTTTTCCTGATTAAACCTCAACTTTATTTTTGTCTTGAAAAAGACCTTGCAGTTTTTCATTTTTCCGAAAAATCCCTCAACTTTTATTTTTTCGAAAAAACCTCACATTTGACAAGTTTTTTCGGGAAAAAAAAAACTGCTAAAAGGGTCAAATCGAAAAAAAATTGGAAAATACAAGGTCTTTTCATCGATCGGAAAAAAATGGAAAATAAATTATTTTTTATTTTTTAAAGTACAATGCTTTAATAGGAAAAAGAAATGAAACTAGGATGCTCCATGCTACAATAAACAAATCAACTAAAGTTTCAATTTCTTCCAATAACTCCTAAATAAATAGATAAAGTAATTTGCTATTTCTTGCATTTAACCATTTCTAAAACACAAAAGTTGGAAAGAAATCTACCACAAACCTGATACACACATAGTCTTGTAAAGATGAGCAACATGAACATCTCCTCTTGTAGCCATATGAGGCCTCTCTAAGCATTCAAGAAAAGCCAAATCCGCCTTCAAAAGCTCACTTTGATCATGACTATCATATCCCATATCATGACAATAACAACAATAATCAAGCCAATCAATAGGCCTTTTATCCCACAATAAAGACCCTCCATCTTTCCCACTTGACCAATTTGGCCCACAGTAATGCCCATATCGTGGAAACAATTGTGACAAAAATGCCCTTGGACCCGTGTGCCATGGAACCTTTGAAACATAAGGTCTGAAACGAACTGTGGAGTAAGTGACACCGGGTCCCACAAGATTGGTTTGAGAGAGTTGTGCGTGTTTTTTTAGTTTTTTGTTGAAAAAAGTTGGGATTTTTAGGTTTTCTGCCCATGGGAAAACTGAAATGAGGGATAATCCCCAAACTTTGATGTTGATTTCTTGATTTTTAGGTGGATATTGAAGGGTTGTGGTTGTTGTTGTTGTTGTATCTGGTTTGTTTGAAGTCATTGTGATACTAAAAGTGTAGAAGTAATTGAGAAATGGGTTTTATGGGAATCATTTAGTAATAGAAGAATGCTTCTTGTTAAACAAGACCTACATGAAGCAAGAGTAGTAAAAGTTGAATTAAGATAAGCAATCCAAAATGGAGTGAAAACAATTCATAACAAAATGATTGAAGCATTTTGTGTGTGTGTGTGTGTGTTTTTTTTTTTTACAAAACGGGATAACGGAGGAAAATGGTTTTCTAAATGGTAAAAAAGTAAAATGGTTTAATCACTAGAGAAAATGGTTAAGTGGTTAATCGATAAAATGAGAAAAGTACATTATGGTTTTATGTATATTTCGTTCTATGAAAAAGAAAGAAAGCAGACACATAAATTAAGTTATTGTGCAAACAATAGAATGTTTTTTGGTTTAGAAATTATTAAAAGATTCATGATGTCACCAGAATCTTTGGCTATATACAAGCAATCAGCAATTCAACTAACAGATGATGAAACTCAAACTGAAGGTTGTTATATAAGATATAGTTTATAATGATAATAAACAAGAAAAAGAAGCCTTAAACTAAAAGTCTTAAATAAACCAAAAGTCTAATCAATAGTCATAATCACCCTCTTTTAAGTTACCATCAAACTCTTTTCTTATATCCTCATCACTCTTTAATCCATCCACAGAGGAGTAATTTAAAAGTCTAATATTTCTTTGGGACAAGTTAAGAAATTCCCATTTCATAGCCTACGAGTTACGTAAAACTAAGGGATTGCCATGTGCGTTCAAACTACTTATTGCGATTTGAAATTGCAACAATCAATTTTAAGTGTTTGCGTAAACCGATTATGATTCCAATTTTCTGATTATTTAGGGTAAACGTAATCATTTGGATATCAATTAGCGTACGAAAATCGATTATAGGAATCAATGTAACATTACCCAACTATACTACCTTTTAACAGGTTATGTGATTTTGATTCTTTCAAAGCATCCTTCATAATGTAAAACCGAAGTCATAGGCCTATGTGTTCTTGCAAGAAAAACAGAAACAGGTACAATTTCCCAGTAATTACCCGTACGTTACTCTATAGTTCATCAAAATCAAGTGTCAATCCGAACTCTATTAAACTTGTCACAAAGCAATAATTTTCTAAAAACAATAGTTTTCACAAGAACATAATACTCGAAGTCTCGAACGCGATAATTTCCTAAAAGTACCAAAATCTGACAATTAATCCACAGGTATGAACGAGAGCAAACGAAAAATCTATTGATGAGCTTAAAATTCAACTGCGAAGCTAAAACTAGAAGTTGAAACGAATGATACTAACCGAAACGCAGTAATTCCGCAACAATTTCGTAGTAAAGCTGTTGTTCATCAGAGAATTTGGGGATTTTAATGAAGAGAACAGGGTGGGAAAGGATAAAGGGAGTGATGAGACAAAAGTTCACCGACTCAGCGATTGTACACTCAGAAAATTAGTGTCTTTGGTCAGAATATATTCTCCAAATAACAAGCTAACGTTCTCTAAAGTCTTACGTAATAGAAAAATATTACTAAATATTTATTGAGTTTTATAGTTTTATTTTTTAATCTAGCTTAGTTCAAACTTATCAAAAAGTTTAAATAATAAAATTTTAATTTATTTTGTTAATAACAAAACTGGTCAATTATTTAACTTTTTAGAATTTTCAAAACCTTTTAAGAGTTTTAAACACTTAAATCTTAGTTATCTCACAGAAAAAAAATGTTATAAAAGATATTATACTTTTTAATTTTTCTATTTAAAAATAAACTTTATTTTATTTTCAAAAACATCTGCATATCTTTTTTTTTCGTTATCATTTTTTAAAAGGTTTACAAATAATCTTTTAGTAATTGACAATTTTTTTGGTAGAGGAAAACCAAACTTTTTCCTCAAAAAAAAAAAAAACTTTTATATTTAATTATTTTTTTTTCATTTTGACCAACTTTTTTTTTGTTGATTCGTAATTTTTATTCTTGGTGTTTATGATGTTTTTGATTGAGGTAGATAAAGATCTAATTGTTAAGTGGTAAACCCTATCATCGGTGCAATATATGTCAACTCACCCTAAAATCCATGTGAGAAGTTAAACGTAGAACATTAAAGATATTTCAGACATGACAAAGTTTGAACCTTGGACCTCGAAATTATGCACCCAAACTACTAGTCCCCATTGTGGGGCTAACTTGTATGTGATTGCTAATTTGGAAGCTGAAGATTGTGTCTGATAGCTTCTATCAAACAAATGACTACATGTCTTTTGGGGAGTGAATGTTTCGCATGTACTAACTTGGACGAAATCATATCACAAATGGTTTCATGTTTGCTAATTTCGAGACTAAATTTCTGATTTTGTTATCGTTCACAATGCTCCTCTTATATGGCTATTGAAGGTAAAAAAAAAAAAAAAAAAAAAAAAAAAAAAAAAAAAAAAGGGTTTCTAACGTTTACATCAAACAAACCTAACTAAACCTAGAGGAAGATGTATAACAATCCTAATCCATCATAGCAGCCAAATGTCAAATAAATACCAAACAAAATTAGTGGAACATAAAATAGACGTGTCCTCCTCCAACACTAAATTCTTTCCAGCATAATTAAGAGCTACATGCCGGATGATCCAAGCTATACTTGACTATACTTATCAGACACTTTCACAAGATCATTAAGATACAAACCATTCAATAGATGCATCCACCACTTATAATCTTAAACACGATATAAAATGCACAAAATGCCATAAAACTCATGTAGTTTGTATATAATTTAATTTTTAAGAAAATTACTAAAAGTGTTGGATTTGAATTATTATTTTTTTTAAAGAAAAAAGAAAAAACGTAATGATACTAGTAGCTAAATTGATCCTTCCATTTTGGGTTCCAAATTGTTCAGCCTCAAATCGAACAACGGAAATTATATATATGTGAGTTACTTTTAACTTAATAAATATAAATCTAAAATGATGTTTCGAATTTGGAAATAAAGAAATGCATTCGAGTTCATGTTTTCATGGTTATGATAACTAGGTTTTAATATAAAGTTTGGATCAATAATCAAATTTTTCTAAAAATTATATAATTGAACCAACATGAGTAAGTATTAGAAATTCGGTAAGAGTTGTACGGATCAACGATAAAACTGACGAAATGACGATTTTGGTGGCATGAACATATACAAAAAAGACTACCATCAATGACGATGGTGATGGTTGATTCATTGATGGATGATGTTAAGAGGAGAATAGGACATCTTAATAGGAAGTGGAAGGATATCGTAAGGTTAGACATAGAGTAATTGGCTCTTTCTAGCGACATGTCCTCATATAGGAGGGTGTGGAGGGTAAATATCATGTTAGTTGAGTGGCCGAGGTCCTTATATGCGTCTTATTGCTTATGTCGTTTGGTAAATTGATTTTTTTTTCAGTATATGCTTACTCCCTTGTATGTTTTGGTTTTTGATCGTTATTATCAATAATATTATGTTTTATATGTGTATATGTAGCTCACACTGTTTTATTATTCCTCTGCTTTCCCCCATTTAAAGGTGTTTATTATTTACACATGTCTGAGGCCTTTTTTAGTGAAACAATAGCTCTTTCCCTATTGGAGACACAACTGCCGATATCTATGCCCTACCAAATTTCAATGGGATTCTGAGGGTACGTTGTTATTTTACATATATAAAGTTATGTTTAGGAGCTAGGGAGTTATCTTCCAAACATGTATACATATTAATAAAGGGCTAATCACAAAAATGAACAACATAATTGTGAAATTCTCTTTTATAACCAATCCTTGAGATATTTTTAAAATAATCACAATCTTCGAAATACTTTAATCAAACTAATTAATTTTTGTGTCAGATTGTGTTAAGAGTTAAGACCGTTGAGACGGAATATAAAATAATATGAAAGCTGAAATTTTAGAAAAATTGTATATTTCAAAATTCCATATATTCTAGTTTTGTATATTTTGGAGAATACTTCATTTCAAACTTGTATATTGGAGTGCATTTTAGGTTTTTTTTTTTTTTTTTTTTTTAAATTGTATGTTATGTCTTTTAGCGTTTTAACCATTTATCTAAACACAAAACTCTATTGATCAAAATATAGCCAGATTTTAAAGCCCAATTTTCTATTAGGGGGTCATGGGAGCGAATCATGTTGTAAATTATGTCTAATTATACATTTTATGGTGTGCATTTCACTTATGTATGAACTATTGTGGGGTGGTTAACTTGGCGGATTCTAAGATAAGGTTACAGTAAAATCAAACTTTTTGTCTTTCCAATGTCCTCGAATAAACGTTGATGACGATAATGTCAAATATTTTATGAGTATTGTTACTAGTATCTTGTCATTATTTGTTGCCAATAATATTGTCAAAAGTGATGCTAACCAGTTAGTTATATATCGATCTCCTATATCAATAAAAAACTGATTACCTCGGGGAAACCGATTTGATGCAAAAAAAATTTGGCATTAGTATTAACCAAATATGTAATTCATTGCATGTTACCAAATATGTAATTTATTGCATGTTACAGTGACTCCCGAAGCAGTCTACGAAACACAAGAAATACGTATAAATGATTTCCTTTCACGTCGTTAAGGGAAGTAATGTAACACATGTTTCCCAATATGTATTTTAACTGTTTAAGTAATTGAATTTATGTTAAGGAGGGTTAATTTTAGGTTGAGGCGTGACATGCCTCATAGCAGACGCAACGAGCCTGGGCACATGCAAGCGTAGAGCACCTAATTGATGGAGTGGCGCACCCTATTTAGCAACTAAAACTCTAATTTATCAATCCTTAGGCCCTATTTAAGGACACTAACTCCTAGGGTTGCCTTATTTGGCCTCCATTTTGTAGAATCACCTCCCTCAAAACCCTAGGCTCCATTTATGATCTTCCTTGGGTTTTGTCACTTTGGTGTGTAGCTTGTGGGAGAAGGAACCTCATTTGATGGAAGAGAGCTTAGATTCCTCGAAACCCTAGCCTCCATTAAGACTCTTATTAGATTCAGATCTAAAAATTATAGCCTCTAGCTAAAAGTATTAGTAACTTAAGGAAAAATGTTGTTAAACCAATAGGCATGACGCTCCTATTAAAGGGTCATATCATGCCTGGTTGTTGACTTTTTGACCAATTTGTCTTTTGGTCAAAATTTGGTGGATTTAAACTATAAACTGATAATAGAACTTTGTTTGGTTATAGGTTATCAACTTTAGCAATTTCGAGGTGTTTGATTGTGTGTGTAGTGTCTACAGTTGCACTGCATCCATGTCTTTTGTTTTTAAAGACTTTGATATGGTTTTATTATGATTTTGGAGCACGATGTGATATGTTTGATCAAATGGATGTTTTTATTATACTTTGAAAAATGGTTTTGGTTGATTACTCTTATTTTAAAATAAACAATTTAGTTTAAAAATTTAAGACGTTACAAGTGTAAGTCATTTATGACGGGACTGTTATGATGCTCATGAATCATAAAATAACCATCAAAATCTGCTGATGTTGATTGATGATCAAAACCCACATTCACACAAAATCCAGTGTTGATATTTCCTACTACACAAGCATGCCGGGCAAAATGCTATACTTCACAAATTTTGAAGGGATCCATCAAAAAAATCTTTTTCCAAACTCCATGTGTATAATTACAATATTAAAAGGATTAATCCAGAAACTGTTATTCATATAATACGTATGAATTACATCGGTTTGAATACTTCGTCACTATCAGCTGTGTGGTAATATTAGTTTTCAAATTGTATTTACATTTTCATTTTGATAAACTATTGTGATAGGTGGCCCAATAAAGTGTAGAGTCTTCAGTTTAAAAACTAATTGTGTACTATAATTGATGGTGCTTACCTAAAAATATAAACATGTAGAAATATAATTATATGTACTATAATTGCATGAAAGAAAATGATATTTTCTTTTGTAGTGTAACTTCAAAAGCCCATAACCCCTTACACTCAGAAGGAGATTAATAAAAAAAAGATGCTTAAATGTTCACAATGGAAGGCAAACCTTATCAAAAACACCTTTGAAGTACATGACTACAGCAAGAATTGTACAAGGTACTGAAAAAGCAATTAAGCTAAAAAAAATAAATAGAAAAACAATACCAAGTGCTAAAAAGCAGAATGATTTTGATTCTAAATAGTTAGAAGAACAAGCTACAGTCCTCTTGGATCATATATAACCCCAAGGGTCAATAAAAACCTACCAAATAACTAAATAAGATATTAACTTTTCTCCAAATATTAATAAATTTACAAATCCAAAAAATCAAAAACCCAAAATACTCCCTCTTTTTTTTTTTTTTAACTTATTTCTAATCCAGTTTTTTTTATCATCATAATCTCATTAATTACCAGTTCAATGTTACAAAGATATCAGAAGACAGTTATATTTTAATCTGTACAGAATCATTCCTACCCTATAAATTACCTCCTCTTCCACCTCACCTCTTCACCCCCTTGTACTTTGTGCTTTAAGAGTGGTACATTTCCAATCC